CAATCGAACCTTGTTGGACATGGTTCGTTCCATGATGAGTCGAGCTTCGTTACCTATCTCATTTTGGGGGTATGCCTTAGAGACTGCCGCCCATATCCTTAATCTAGTCCCTACCAAGAAGGTTGCCAATACACCTCACGAGATGTGGACAGGGAAGGTTCCCTCGTTGGCACACATCAAGGTTTGGGGTTGCGAGTCTTTCGTGAGACGTGAGACTCATGACAAACTCGAACCTCAGAGTGAGCGGTGTATTTTCATCGTCTACCCACAGAAATCATTTGGTTATCTTTTCTACAGACCGAGTGACAATGTTGTCTTCTTTGCGAGGAGAGGAGTCTTTTGTGAGAGAGAACTCATAAGCCAAGGAAATAGTGGGAGGCAAACTGACATTGAAGAGCTTCAAGAGTCAAGAGGTGAATGAACCTCAAACATTAGCGATCAACCTGAAGAGGAAACTCTTGTTGAGCCGATTGACGAATTTGTACCTCTGAGGCGTTCCATAAGAGTTAGGAATACACCTGAGTTTTATACTTTCCATATTACTACAGAAGGTGATACATTTATCAGTGATAGCACATTAGTAAATTTGGATGAACCTAACAACTACAAAGAAGCCATGGCATGCCCTGAGTCTGGAAAGTGGAAAGAGGCTATGGACAATGAGATTCAGTCCATGTATGACAATCAAGTTTGGAACTTGGTTGACAATGTACCGGGTCGTAAGACAGTCGGGTGAAAATGGATCTTCAAGAAGAAGACCGACATGGATGGGAAAGTACACACTTATAAGGCGCGACTGGTTGCGAAGGGCTTTACTCAAACTCCAGAAGTTAACTATGATGAGACCTTCTCACCAGTATCTAAGATTAAGTCTATTAAGGTTATGCTAGCCATAGTTGCATTTCATGATTATGAAATATGGAAAATAGATGTCAAAACCGTTTTCCTTAATGGAAAGTTGGTTGAGGATGTTTACATGAGTAAGCCAGAGGGTTTTGTCGATGCTAAGTACCCTAGTAGAGTGTGTAAGCTTGAGAAATCCATTTATGGATTGAAACACGCATCTCGTAGATGGAATCTTTGTTTCGATGAGAAAGTCAAAGAGTTTGGCTTTTCGAGAAGCGACGATGAGTATTGTGTATATGTCAGAGCTAGTGGGAGTATAGTTAGCTTCTTGGTGTTGTATGTGGATGACATACTACTCATAGGAAATGATATCCCAATCTTGTAGGAGGTTAAGTCCTGACTTGGGAAGTGTTTCTCTATAAAGGACCTTGGAGAAGCTGCCTATATCCTAGGGATAAGGATATTGAGAGACAGGAGTAAAAGACTAATTGGACTTAGTCAAAGTATCTACTTGGACAAGGTGTTGAAGAGGTTCAACATGCATAATTCCAAGAAAGGTGACTTACCGATCCAGAGCAATGCCAAACTGAGTAAGACTCAGAGTCCGAGTACAGAGGCTGGGATAACTGAGATGAGTTGATTACCATATGCTTCCGCTGTTGGCTCGATCATGTTTGCTATGACTTGTACTCGCCTTGATGTGGCCTTTGCTTTGAGCATGGTCAGCAGATATCAGGGGAACCCTGGTAAGGCTCACTGGACTGCGGTAAAGAATATTCTCAAGTACCTGCGAAGGACTAAGGACTGGGTTCTTATCCTCGGTGGGAGTGATGACTTGAGAGTGACAGGGTATAGTGATGCCAGCTTTCAGACCGACAAAGAGAAATTCCGCTCTCAGTTGGGCTGGGTATTCACCCTGAATGGAGGAGCAGTTACTTGGAAAAGTTCCAAGCAGGAGACTGTAGCTGATTCAACGTGCGAATCAGAGTACATAGCAACAAGCGAAGCGGCGAAGGAGGCGATATAACTGAAGAACTTCATTGGAGACCTTGGAGTGGTACCAGCTATAAAGGAGCCTATGGAGATTTTCTGTGACATCGACAGTGCGGTTGCCTTAGCCAAGGAACCAAGGGATCATGGCAGATCCAGGCACATTGACAGAAAATATCACTTCATAAGACACAAGATAGATTAAGGACTCCTCGTAGCAAAGAGGGTATCGTCAGAAGAGAACCCGACAGATCCCCTCACGAAGGGACTGAATAGGGTTAAGCATTTACAACATGCGAGGCGCATCGGGCTGAAGGACGATATTAGTTTTAATGATTAGATAGCTATTTCTGAAACGTGTAATAGATAAAATGTAATTGGCATTTGATGAATAAATAAAAGTTGTTGTTTATTTATGAGTGAAGTTACTATCTTGTGTCAATTATTTACTATTGTTTCAATTTTGCATGTTTTGACTTCCAGAATAATAAGATTATTCAAACTGTCCACAGTCGATCATACTTTGGAAGTAGGTATTGAATCAAGACTGTCATGAATTTGGCTTGTAGATTGTCTGAAATGGTTGGACATTGCTATGACATTCATGAGTGCTCATAAGTTCTGAGTATTGGATTAAACCCACGCTCACTTGTATCACTTCATGGAATTTATCTCGGGTGATCGTGAGACGATAATATCATATAAGTCTTCAAACCAAGAGATATGAGTTGTTTACTGTGAGCTGGTTGTGCATTGATAGTACGAAAACACATCAGTAACTTGATGTTATAAAACGTGCTATTGTGTATGATTTGGTGAATAGTTATTACAAGCATATGAGTCAAAGTTTATCTGTTCCTTTTAGTCCTCGGAGGATTAAAAGCGATATCTTGGGCCCCTCGATGATTTTGTTTTGACTTATGTGTCGGGCCCGGTCAGACCTTAATCGATGTGTTCGATTAAGTTCTATGTCAAACAAATCGAAAATCAGGAAACAAACTGCTGGACAATAAGTATGACGTTGTTCCATGTATTTGTCTGGCTGATATCTTGAGAACAGAGGATTATATGATCACTTGTCTAAAATGGCGCGTTCTAGTTCAACAAAGTTTTAAGAGCTACGATTGTTGGTCGGTTCCTGAATTCGTACTTGCAACTATAGTTATTAGACTTATCCAAGTGGGAGACTGTTGGATAAGGTGTCTAAGTCCATAACTATATTTGGTATGTACTTGACCCGATTTAGCATTGTCCATTTGGGTTGCACTTCACCGGAACAATTTGGACTTTTGAGAAGAGGATATGTATGATTTATTAATATATTATAAGTTCTAATATATTAATATGAAATCATATTATTTAATTAGTACTGATCAAGAATTAATTTGGAATTAATTTTGTGGTCAAAGGAGACTAATTAAATATATATGGATTAATTGTGTAAATCATTCATTCTTATAATGTGGGCTAATGATCCATGATTCCTTATGTTGGGCTTAACCGATGTGGTGACCCATGGATACTCCATGGAGGTTAAAACTCATGGATCATGAAGAATGTGGAAAGTCATGCACATTAGGGTTTACATGGTGTAACCCTAATGTAACCACACTATATAAGAAGCCCTTTGGTTCAAGAAAATGGCACCTAGAGTCTTTGCAAGAGTGTGGCCGATTTTTGTGAGCTAAAGAGTCCTCTTCCAAGTTTCCAAGTGTTAGTGGTGATTTGTGATTCCACTTGAGGCATTCACATTATTGGTGCTAGGCTCTTGAAGCTCCAAGCAACAAGCTACAACAAAAGGTATGTTATCTAACTTGTTTTATTACCCAAGTATCAAAGTTTTGTATGCTAGTTAGGGTAATACCTTGGAAAATGAAAGTTTGCATGTATAATAGAGAAAACATAGATCCAAGGTATTTAGGGTTGCATGTACACCTTAGGAGTGTTAGAATGCTCATAACCCTTCACATGTGATTATTTATTGTTTATGTGGAGTAGCACAACAATATAACTTAGAAGACGCATTACCTCATTATCAGCAAAGTCGTTGGTTCTATATAGCTCACATTTCAGATTATATGGCTGTCTGCCTACGTATGTTTCCTCCGAGATCATATACTATTGGCCCATGGAACGGATTGCACCATCCTTGAACCGTTTCCTTCTAGAATATGCAAATAATGTAAGATATCAAAGTAAGTTACCATTTCTTGTATTTTTTTCAGCTTCCTAGATATAAAAATTCAAATAGTTTGAATTTCATCAAATTAAGTTACCATTTCTTGTATTTTTTTTTCAGTAAGTTATTTATCACTAATTAATATTACTGGTATCAAAATGTAAGTAGAATGTTAATATGGGTAACAATCTATAAGTAAAATGCCATTATGTATGAAAATGAGAGCTAACCCTTTTAGAGGAATTGGTGATGAAATTTGTTTGTGCAAAAGTAATACTTCAAATAATTTAGAATGCATGAACATTGTTAGTTCTGAAATCTACAGTAGGTACATTCTTTATAGTTGGCTTATAAACAGATAAAAAATATATACATATAGTATTTTAGTAGAGTTAAGTATTAAAACTCGTTATTTTAGATTTAATTATAGACTTGATTATATATTATTTACATATAAGAAGTTAAATATGTTAGTTTTAGTTTCTAGCTACAGTCATAAAATCATCTTTTGTTCACCAATCTATTGTGAATAAAATACATAATGACAAAATGGTGATTCTAAAGTTAAATCTAAAGATACACCAAGCTTTGCATCTCAATCTTGGAGGAATTATTTTAGAGGGTAGTTGGATTTTCTTCTTTCACAAAACCAATACAATTGAAAAGTAATGCACAAAAAAAGATATACATACCTTCTTAATATTTGTAATTGCAAAAAGGCCAAAGTCATTGCTAAAAGTAGCAATCCCCTAATCCTTCGCCTTTTGAACACTCCCAAATCCCAATCACCTAAAAAACTTTAAATAAAAATATATATTAAATTCAATCAACTTTTTTCATAAAAAAGAAGTATTTGACTTACATATCTCACTTGCATACCTCACAATAGTTTACATAGTAACTTCCATTGAACTTCATGTGCTACCTTAGTTGTAACCTGAAAAAGTTCACCTAATTAATCCCTTTTGTAGAAAACAAAAATATATCAGAATATGACATTGCCGTCCTCACCAGGAGCTTGACCAGTGTTCCATCCATCATAATTCCATTTTGGCAGCTTCTTGGGATCAGCTACAGGCTTAGGAAGTGTCTAACATAAGAACATCAAAGTAAAATCGCTTAAATGATGTTAAAAAAAAGACGGATTTAATGAAGAAAACACAAAGAAATCGACGTTTCAAACTACTTCCACCAATACTATAAGAGATTTCAAGAAATTGAGGATGTGTTTGGATATAATAATGTTTTTTCTTATGATGTTGATTCCAAAATTAAACAAAAACTTCAAGATTATCATAGTAATCAATGTTAAATTCTTACTTTACATGTTTGTGACTTCCATTTCCATCCTAATTTAGATTCATTGATTCAATTATTTTGTTACACAAATTTGCAGCTCAGATTATTAATTTTATAGGAAATTAATGTTATCATCAAAATTTGTAAGAGTAAGCATCAAATTCCATTTATACACCACAATGATGATTAATAAATAAATTTTTTTCATAATTGAAAGAATAAGGAGTTTGAACTTGTCAACATGGGATTAATTGAGTAAAAAAATCAATGAAAATACATTCTTATATCCTGCATTTAACCAAAACAATAAAATAGATATGGAGAATTTTAAAAGATAATGTTATAAAGTAATGATGTTTAAACAAAAAAAATTAATAATAAGATAATAGGGTATGACTTTTCCCCATGTTTATGCTTCACTTCAAACTCATTTACAACCAAATACCAACTAAATACCTCTTAAGAGAATCGAACATTTCATACTATAAAGATTTGTGAATATTTCAATTGCATATAAATAACATTTTTTTTTATAAAAATCCATGATAAAAAAGTTTATCGTATGTGAAGTTGGATAGAGATGACGACAGTGATCATAATTCCAAATAATCGGTTGAACACTTGAAGGAAGAAGGCATAGATGACTTTGATGTGTTATGGTAGTCGCAAACTGTAAAAAAATAACATTTTTTAAAAATTCCATGATAAAATATACATAATCAAGAAAAGAAGAATGTAATAAGTAACTTACATAGAATGCCATGTGAAAAAATAGGAAAAACATATTATCTGAAAGCAAGCAAGACATGTAGCCCGAAGAAGATACTCCACCAAAACACAACAAATGTTGAACATGAAATAAAAGGTAACCAATTGTAAGAATTTTGAGATGTTATTGTCTTGGGGTCCTCCACTAATGGTTGTAGGTGGATGTTGTTGTAACATCTTAAAATCCCTCATCAGCCTGTTTCTAGCATTGTAATGACCTAGTAAAAGTATTAAAATAACACTGAAATGGTTGGCCAACACCCTCAACATCGATTACAGTTAAAATAAATAAAAAAAATGTCGTATAACTTTTAAAAACCAACGCAACAAACACAAAAGAGAATGCCATAATGATATGTTCACTATTTGTGTAAATAGGGAACCAAACTATACGTACTTGTGAACTTTGTAAATCCACTTTCAGCAGCCTTTCTAAATCCCTAAAAAAAGAGAATCAAAGGAATCAACAGTAGATACAGAATTAAAGGGCTTCTAGCCCAGCGGTATCTGATGTTGCCTTCCCTCCATGAGGTTGAGGGTTCAAGTCCCGTTGTGGACATAGGTGGATGTAAGGTGTAGTTTAGGAGTAGGTTAGATTTACCATTAAAAAAAAAGATACAGAAGCAGGTGAACTAAATTTCATAGTTATGGAATTAGGGTTGGATTTGTGTGTCTAATTGAACAGGGTAAGCAAGCATAAGAAAATTAGAAGCCAAATATACAAAACAGTCAATCTTCGGAAGTCGATGGTCGTAGAAGCACAAAATTTCTGTTGAAATTAAAGAGAAATCAGAAAGCAGAGATGAAGTTACCTGATTTGATTGCAAAGGTTTATGCAAGAGAGCCAATTGTTTACAGCGAAAAGGAGAAGAAAAAACAATCTGAAAAAAAACCCATTTACTTATGGCGAGAAGCAGCGATGCTCCTATTTAGGGTTTTAGGCCCTCTCCTACATACAGAGGAATAAGAAATTGTGTTTTCCCACTCCCCTTTGTTGAATACTACAACCGACAGTGATGCGTAATCCTTGAAACCACTTCAAATTCTTTCGAAGCTATAAAAGAAACAGATCAAATCATCAATTTAAGGCATATTCGTTTAAATCAAAAGAAACAGAACACAAGGAAGTAAAAGAAAGAGGGATACGATTCAATCAATTCCCAAAAAAGGACGATTTGTTGACCAAAAGAAAAAATCCAAGTAGACGGAACAAAACCGGAAATCCAACGGTCATTCGAGGATTGGGAAGCGAATAGCAGAGCAGATGGAGGGCAGATAAGGGGATTAACAGGAAGTCGGTGATAATTTAAGTACGATTTCATAAAGGGAAGCGGTAGCTGTAGAGGTGCTCGTATGGTCGTTGCCGACATGGACACCTAGAAACAAAATTCGATGACTTTGAATCGGTGATAGTTACTGCATAGAAAGCACAGATGAGGAAAACACAACACGTACATGTAAGTTGTGAACTTCATACCACGTGTAAACCACTATAAATAAAAAATAAAAGTAAACCCATCAAAGAAAAAAGAAAAAAAATCTCCACCAATCAGATAAGATCACTGTTCACAAAGGGGCCTTAAGATTAATATATTATATAATAACATGATCATACAACTACAACATGAAACCATGCTTATTGATTATTTACTTTTTAAAATTAGTGAAAGCAAGTTTGAGAAAACTTTAACTTGTGATAAAACTATAGCTTTTAATTTAGGAATTGATGTGGTGTTTAAAAAAAAAGTTAATGACTATAAAACCACTATATTTTTTCATTTTTTCCGGTTTAACCATCCATTTGTTATTTGTGTTAAAAAAAACCCATTCATTTTTAGATAAAAATTTTATTGAGAGCACTACGACCTACATTTATACAAAAAAAAAACATCAATTTTCATTTCGTGCTAAAAAAAACAACCTATAAATTGGAGGTTAAACCAACTTTCGGAAAAATATAATTTTTTTTTTGTAATTAAAACCGACTTTAATAGGTAATAGTGGTCGCGCTGAAATGTTTTACCAAAAAATGGTGGTTTTTTCGGAATTTATTAAAAATTAGTGGTTAAACCAAGCTTTTAAAATATAGTGTTTTTTTTCATAATTAACCCTTAAAAAATAAAATAAGAATTCTTAAGAAAAATACATTTTGACGAGAGTAACCTAAAGCCATCTAAATTTAATATACATATATTCACCTCAAGAATCGTTTACAACAGAAATGTTGAAGTCATTGAATGGTACCAAACTAATGTATGTTGCAAAAATCTTTTTAAAAATTACAAAATGGTCTTATCTTAGACATTGATGATGATGATTTAATCAACTAACTCAAATTGTTACAAAAAAACCAATCGAACGTAGTACAACTAACACAATACTAAATTTCTTATAAATGATAAACACTTATTCAGTTTTTATCTAGCATTCACAATTATTATTGATTGTTCTCATTATAGTTATATCAGTGGATTGAAACATTGCCAAACTAAACCTTTAACATCTTGTTTGCAATCTATCATTCCCTAAAGTTACACGTTTTGTCTTTGATTTCGATTGCAAATATTGATTATGAAAGTGTAATAGATGAATTTGGTTCTAAAAATGGTAGAAGGTTAATGTTTAAAAACTAATATGTACTTTGTTTACCTTCTTTTGGAAAGAGACTTGTAAAGTTTCAATTTAATATAAATGAATGAAGACCCATATATGGTGTCCATGACTGTTATACGAAGCAATCGAGGGAACGTCGTAGACTGCCAAATAGGGCATGCCTATATTACAACACTACTAAGTATGTCAAATGTTATCTTGCCGAATAGGGTGGTCTTGAGGATGGAATTTTGTTCAATAACACTTGGGATTAGACCACTACTAGGCATAGTCATTGAGCGGAGCATAAATGAATACCCCTGACTTAACTGTCTTGTGGCGTTAATGAATTATACTAATCTACTGATGAGGATTATATGTTCATTCAGGTACTCCATTCCCCTCATTTATTGCCTTTCTTGATCCTCATCTTCTGTTGAGGAATCCATCAAGCTGCATAGTCAACTTGTTGTTCACACTGAACCTACTGTATAAATCTCATATGTTCTTTGAATATGATCAGTATGTGAGGATCGATGGGACGTGATAGATTATCTTATAGATATGATATATTTGTGTTGATGATAACAATTTGTTTTGTAGGTTTGAGATATATGATTTATTATCATCATGTTATTGTGGGATTGGAAACCGTATGTATCCCTCCAGCTTTCCCAACCTGACCCACTCAAATTTTATGCTTCACAAGTAGCGGTATTAAGACTGCTGAAGATTTAAATAAGATGATGAGTGATTGAAGAGAAGACATGCATTAGTGTTTAGGGTTGTTAGGTCTTTACTTTGTAACATATGTTGTGTATCGATTATGACATCCTTAGAGTTTTGATATTTTGATACAATTAATTGTAATAAAAAATATTGTAATATACTGGGAATTCCCGTAAATCAAAGTTATTATGAGTTTTGAAAGCGTAAAGATTTTTTTCGGTTCTGAAAATTGGGGATGTCCTCCATAAATTTAAGTCGAAATTCTAAGACTATATGATTACAACCATGCATAGTACTTAGAAGGCTGAAAGAACTTTCTAAAAGTCAGACCATCAACTATAAGATCCTAAACTACATCAAAGTACATAACTATGGCAAGTAAACTAACGAACAAGTCGTGCACTAATCAGGCAAACTAAACATAACTAGAATCAACTGAAACATATTATCCTTCATGGGCATCAAAAGCATACAAAATACATCACAACATGACTAAAAAAACATACCAAATAAATCAATAGGTACTGCACCCACCTCCTCTATAGAAGGGTGACAAGCTCAATCTCTGACCCTTGGGACCTCCGCTATCCCCCGAAATCTATCTGACAATTGCTAGGATAAAGGTATTGGAACCAAAACAATCCCCCCTACTTTTCTGGAAAAAACAGCCTTGACATGACCTAGATAACGATAACGAAAACACACTCTCATCTCCTTCTACTTACAGTCTCGCATGTTGTGGTCCTCCTGTCCACATCTAAAACAACTAGTTGTCCTACACTCCTCCTCATGTGTCCTCCTACAACTACTACAATAATTGTGGCCCTTTTATCGTCGTACATACATATCAGTAACCTTGAACATCTTTGTTGTTGGTTATGCATTTTCTTGAACATGTACCTATCTCATTTGCCTTTGTTGGGTCTCGAGCTACAACTCCCTCGATTTGGATGCATATACCAACTCAAAAAGTGTTTGACACCTAATCTTCATCCATAGCATGGCCAACTACTAAGTTACCCTCATTCTTTAAGTAGCAGCATTCTCAGGGCATAACAATGCCCCCTCCATAAATTTGTTGGTAATTTCCATCACCGACTCGGTCGTCTGCATGAGATCCAAATACTCTTGGGCTAAATGCTCCATCTCAACTTATAGAACATACTTCAATCTGAACATAGTAATGAGCTACTTCCAAGTCATAACATCACACTCCTCAACAGAAAGGGGCTAAACAACCAACCCCTACCAATCCTTTGCCAGTCCGCATAGAAGGCTAAGCATGAACTTGACCTTTATCTCATATGGGTAGAAACATGTACTAAAGGCACCCCTCAATATCAACAATCAAACGTATGTTGTAAATGAGATACTTTCATACCTAAAAAAGGGAGGACGTGTAGTTGTGATTCCTAACCCTTAGCTGGACAACACCAATAAGTACATAATGCATGTCGAACATGGCTATCAGCTCTGTCTTGACCGTACCAAATATCTTGGGGATCATCTGTCGTACTGCCATTAATACCTCTATGACAATCCAATCATGCAAGTTTGTATCACTCAGACCTATATAAAACCAGAACTACTCTCTCCATGCCTAGTCGGAACGATATTGCAGATATGAATGGAAACAGATTACTAATAATAAACAATTTTACCCAACACCATGTACGCCCTTCTTTAAGCCCTTGGTACCCTTGCGACACTTTCGTGATCCAAGTATGTATCATGTGCTTCCAGTAGTATTGCCCATACTATCTTCCACACCTATGCATACTTTCTCTAAGGATTGTACCAAGGTTTCCAAGTTTCCCCTCACAACTACTAAACCTTATATCAAACTAAAGGTTTGTATCAATTAGATACACTCAAGTATGAATAATGATGAAGAAACAAAGAATAAAGAACAAGATGATTATAAAGATACTTTCACTAAGAAAGTGGGTTGTCACAAATAGAACATGTCACAAAGATGGCACCAAGCTCTAATAGGGTTTAACTATAATAGTACAATATATAAGATTACAAAAACGAAGATCCCACTATTTTGGGGATGTATACTAATCTATGTAAAGGTCTAATCCTAATCACTAAGATTATGGATCAGATATATATTCTATATATACAACATATATCTACCTAATATATATATGTTCATTGGGTACACGTTGTCGCAGGTAAGCTGATGTTGGCGCTGGTGCTGATGTTGGTGGAAAACATGCTAAGTGTTTTGACTCATCAGATCATAATGTACGACCTTATAATCTACCCTACCTGATGATGGCAAAACTAATCTTCAAGGGAGTCATCAAAATCATCATTAGAAAACATTCCAGCTTTTGGATAATAAATTCTCCCCCCGAGGGTATGAACTTTCTTGCGTTTTGAATTTATCTCCCACTCAGAAAAGGAATGTGTCTGAGTATAAGGTTTATCTTCTTTTGCTCCCCCTTTGATTTTTCTCCCCCTCAAATGAATAACCTTCTTCTTTCAAGAGTAAATGTTATACTTATGAATGATCAAGTGACAACATAGCATAAATTAATATTTCTCCCTTTTTTTTCGCATCATCAGAATGCCAGAATAAAGATAGTAGTAGAACCAATGAGACATAAGAGCAGCAAAAATAATCAGCGTATCATGAGTTGCATTATCAGTGGATCAACGTGGTAGTTGTCAAATGAGTGAGATTGTGATGTCTCCTGACAGCATGTGTTTGTACTATCATTTACTGACATAGTATTGTGAAGTCTCATCAGTGTATGATTTTATACGTTGAATCATTAACTTCTTTTATTAGAAGAATATAGGGCGAGAATGGGATGATACGTGTAATACATTACGGTACGGAATGTACCCATCGGCATAGAGTGTCGAAGTTTTTATCAGTGTATGGCTAATAGAGTGAATCATCAACTTCTTTAATAGAAGAATTGTTGGGAGAGAATGGGTAGGTTCGTCTAATATATCACGGTACGTGATATACCCATCGGCACAGACTTTTCGAATTCTCATAAGTGTTTGGTTTCATACGCTGAATCATAAA